AGAGTTTTTGCTCTTTCATTCGCAACTCTATCATCATTTTTACCTGGTCTTTTTGACAGCCTAGTTTAAAACAAATAACAACTAATACTCGTTTTCTACAAAATGGCCTCACTAACCATCACGAATAATAAAACTTAAAAAAACAATAGCAGGTGGCAAACAAAGAAGAAAAAGTGAAAACGATAATGTACCATCAGTACGGTCAAATTTTTTTACACAGGCATACATGAAATTAAAACCCCGAAAGATACATACCATTTACCATTCTTCAATATAATTTAAAGTTTTCGTTCTTGAAAAGTTTTTAAAAACTGCAAAAACTTAATGTCACCCTTATCACAAATTTGGCATACACACGTGCTGGATGTGAATGAATACAGAATTCTAAACTATAGCAGTTTAAGATAACTTTCCTAATGAAATAGAAAGGTTGATCATGTTTTCACTCTTCATTTTTTTATCCTTCTTCTCCTCCTTAGGTGTCAGAAACTATTAGCTGTTCCAAAGTGTTGTAACTAAAATAGTAGATTGTACTGCTGCTGCTGTGAGGAATGCACAATAAAAAATAATTTGCTTTACTGCTTGCGTATTTTTCAGGTAACTTTTCACAGTAGGTAGCATATGCATAAATTATGCATAATTTAGTCAACAGCTAGCAATTTCGAAGAAAAGAAGACCATCGATTCTAATTTGAAAGAAAATTATATATAGACTGGTACTTGTGCTTTAGAAGCAAGAACTTCCTGAAAAGCCGTCCAAAATAATCTCGCCGCCTCATGCCACTCTCTTTCCTCCTCCTCGCTTTTTTCTTATCCTCCCCTCCCCGCTATAAAATCACTTTTTCTCACATTTGGATCTTTAAGACTAATCTTGTGACACAGAAGAATCTTCAAAATCATTTACGTTTGAAGTTGCTTTCCTTAATCTGACGCAAAAAACCCAAAATGAAATGAAAAATTCTTTTAGTTTGTTGCCTTCATAATCTTTGTTATCCCTTTACAAAAAAACTCTTTTTTGCAGAAGAAAACTTAGGATTAAACAAGGAATTAAATATAAAATATTTTTTCTTTGGAACCCTTAATTACACCATAACATTCATAAAAGTTCTTTAAAAAAACTTAGCCGTCCTATTTTTTTCAATACATGGGACTTTTTTGATGCAGGAAGATCTTTTTTCCGATCAAAAAGCATAAATATCTGCCTCCCACTTAAAACAGCCCCACCCATCGGTATGCACTTCGGCTGCAGTCGGTCTATATTTCATTTCGTCCCTATGAAACCACCACCTTCAGATTTGTCTCACTGCACACCAATAATCATCGATCTCGTCACAATGATATCACTGGCATGTGACGAGATTCATGATTAGTGGTGTAAAGTTAGACACGTCATATAACGATTTCCCTAGGTGCTGGAATTCCACCAAGCTTAAATTACGCTTGGCAGTCAATGATGGCCAAACTAGAACCATACAACACATGATACTACTGGATGTCAACAATTGCAAATCTCTATTACCGTTTTTTGCCCTTTTTGCTCAATGGAGATTGCTATAGACGGTGGAGTGGAGGTTTCAAAGAAGCGGTGGTTTTGGCAGACATTTAAACGATCTGGAAATTGAAGGTTATTTCCAAACGGTAAAGTAAAAGTTTCCGACCTTATGAAGTTGAAAGTAAATACGGGAGGTAGGCAGTGACAACTAGTGTAAGCAGGGAATGCAATCTAGTGGAGAAAAATAACAAAATCTTTCTTGAAAAAGAAAATAGGTGGGCTGAAAAGTGTCAAAAAGCATTCACCTAGGTGTTTCAAATAAAGCGTTACATGCAGTATTAAGCAGAAGTGCTTATCAATTTATAGTTGGTAATTGTGTGGAAGATATAGTTCACTTTAGCTCCGAATATTTAGCCATTCATAGGGAATGTTTAGTTACTAATCTGTTGAACAAAATTAAAAATGCTAGAGGAAACAAGAATCCAAGCGCATTTTGATAAAAAGAATTGCTTGCATGTTTTTTTTACTGTGTGTAATACGTACACTCCTTATTTCCCCCTCACCCTCCCTCTCTTTCCTCCGCCCTCCCAAAAAAAAAAAAAAAAACTCGATTAAAAATTTCTAGGAAGTCAGAAACGTGATTAAACAAGCAGCTTTTTTCATATTTCAAATTCTTATATGTGAGTTGCGTAACTTCAGTTATCCTGGGAGATTATAATTTGGGGAACTTAGTAGCACAGTTTTGCTACACTTTTTTGCCCTGACTCCCACAAATATTCTTCAGCTAAATTCAAAGTTTCCTATACTTTTTCCTTCTTGGTATCTGCAGAACAGTAACAAGTGGTATGAAAACTGAGCATACGTGAAAACGTTGCCGTTTGATAAACATATTCGACGGTTACTTAGTTTTTTTGGCACACCATTAAATGGAAAGGGAAAGAACGCGTTCATATGGGTTTACGGAAAACATATCCATATTTTATGTCAAAACAAAAAAAGATGACGTAAAAAATAAATTTTCTGAGGGAAAATTCAAAATAATTCCTTCAATAAATAACATTTCTAATACACACAATCTATACGTTGCGGTACTAAAACCACAATCGGTCAAAAACGTAACTATATCTTTGAAACACTGTACCCATTTTTTGGTACAGTGGTGGCAGGTTAACGCCCAGAACGTAAGATAACGATGAAGAAATTTAAGAGGTTTTGGTTATATTGCGTCTGCTTATGCTGTTTTTCATAACGACAAATGATTTTCCATCCGGATAATTTTATAATAAATTTATAAAACTATTTTTCAAGCATTTTCCAGCTAAAGTTTTTAACTAGCGAGCGTAAAATACTGCTATATTCTCAACGGCTGGAAGTATGAGAGCTGTAATTTCTATTTTTCAGACAGGTTGAGTGATAATACTGCCTTTAAAAAGCTTTTATTTGGTAAATACGGCTAAAATACTGGGATTAACTGGCTATAAAATAGGTGATAGAGTCCGCAGATCGGCAATCGGCTCTCGTGCCCCGGCTATATTTTACGCGAATAAATGTATGACGCTGCAGTATGCGTTTCGCACCTCAATTTTTGAAATTTGGCAACATGCCATTATTTCGGTAATTTTTGATAGACATTGGTTTTGTGAGCTACACAGAGCAAGCAGATGGGGTTAGTGGAGTCTTTAGTGATTTGAGCATTCTGAGATCGATGGATCATCTAAAAGTGTTTTTCTGGTTATGACTTTCGAATTTTTTTATTTGGTAGTTTGAAGTTATTTAAATATTGTGTTGATGTTTGGACGTTTTTTTGTGGAACCTGTTCTGCAGCTGTATCACTGCGAAGATGGGGATGATGTGGCGTTGTGTTGATGATTTTTTTTGCAGTGTCACTGTTATCATGCTTTAGTTTAAATTGACTTCGAATGAATAGGTGTACCTTTTCTTTTCTTTACTGTTGTGGTTTTTTCCGAGTAATGGTGTTTTTTCGGCCATTTTCACAAATTGGTTCGTAGTTGAAACATTTCGAAATTCTGTCTTGGCGTTGTGACTTTTGGTTTCCTGATCAGTTCAAGCCAAAATGTATTAAATATACACTTGTTTCTCAGTGGTATATGAAAGCTGTTGTATTTAGGCAAATGAATTTAGATTGGAAATTCCATATAAAAGGTACGAAAAACTTACAGATCGAAAACTTTCAGATAGAAGGCTTAAACTGTAGTAACGCGCACTTGTTTATATGTCACTGTTTGCCGTTCACCCAAGTTTGTCGAAATCGCTTGTGACGTATGAGTTTTATGTAGGAAAGTTGTAACGAAGTTTTATCAATTAATCGTTGCTGTTCGGAATTGTTGTATTAGAGGGACATGTGCATTATTTTTTTTTT